GTGAGAACATGTGGTATTTCTCTTTCTGTGCTTGACTTGATTCACTTAATTTTCTCTAAGTCCATCCATGTTGTTGCAAATGGTACTGTTTCATTCTTCTTTACAGCAGAGTAGTATTCCATTGTATAGATATACCACAGTTTCCTTATCCACTCATCTGATGATGGACATTTGGGCTGGTTCCAACTCTTGGCTATTATAAATAGTGCTGCAAGAAACACTGGAGTACAGGTATCCCTTCAGCATGATGATTTCCATTCCTCTGGGTATATTCCCAGCAGTGGGATAGCTGGGTCATATGGTAGATCTATCTGTAATTGTCCGAGAAAGCTCCATACCATTTTCCATAAAGGCTGCACCATTTTGCAGTTGCACCAACAGTGTACGAGAGTTCCTTTTTCTCCACAACCTCTCCAGCACTTACTGTTCTCAGTCTTTTGGATATTAGCCATCCTAACTGGAGTGAGATGGTATCTCAAAGCAGTCTTGATTTGCATTTCCCGGATGCTGAGTGATGTTGAGCATTTTTTCATGTGTCTGTTGGCCATTCATATATCTTCCTTTGAGAAATTCTATTCAGCTCCTTTGCCCATTTTTTAATTGGGTTATTTGTTTTTTTGCTGTAAAGTTGTTTGAGTTCCTTGTATATTCTAGATATTAATCCTTTGTCTGATGCATATTTTGCAAATATTTTCTCCCTCTCTGCTGGTTGTCTTTTCACTCTGTTGATTATTTCTTTTGCTGTACAGAAGCTTTTTAGTTTGATATAATCCCATTTGTTTATTTTACCTTTAGTTGCCTGTGCTGTGGGGGTTCTATTCATGAAGTCTGTACCCACTCCTAATTCCTGGAGTGTTTCCCCTATGTTTTCTTTAAAGAGTTTCATTGTTTCAGGATAAATATTTAATTCTTTCGTCCATTTTGAGTTGATTTTGGTATATGGTGAGAGCCATACCTCTCACCAGAAAACTATTCTAATGTATAGAAGAATCCAGGCATAGAACTCAGAGCTTAATTTTACAGTGAATTACTAAAGTAAAAAACAAATGTAATGTAGTCTACTGATTATGGGGAGATCTGAACCTAGATGCTTGACTAAAACTTTGATCTTCACCCCATAGCTCTGAACTATCAATACATTATTATCTAAAGTTAATGAATCCTTCCATATTTTAAGTGTAATAGGGAGTTAGAAATGCTTACCATGTCATCAGAGTACAGTTTGATATTGTTTCTGAAAATTCACCCACCTTGTCCAATATCTGCTAGTAATATATGTTAACAGTGTTGGTAATCCAAAATCATCCTCACAATTCTTCCTAAGTTAAAGAAATGAGTACTAGAGAAAGTCAAAAGAGAGAAAACATATCCTTTATTTCTGAGTTTCTATTCAAAAAAGCAGAGGATGGTCATATCCTCAGGTCTTTTGTTGAACATGTAGGCAAATGACAACTCAAAAAACAAAAAAAAAAGTCAATGTTTATATTCTACTCCCTCATAAAAAAATATCCAGAAATTATAAAATGATAAATGCATTTTAATATATCTTAATTTAGAGGGCAATTTGGAACTGTTTTATCTAAATCAGTATTGGAGTACATTATACTCAATTAGATGCATGGAATGTTTTGTTATAATGATTATCCGAGTGCCCCATATAACAAGTTCTGTAAGGGCAGATGTAATATCTACCTTGCTGAGTGGAATTCTTTGTATACCTGGTAGGTGATCACAAGGAATGTGCTAAATTAATAGATGACTCAATAAGCCAAATGGGCTTTAAAAATGTGAAACAAATTTGATAAGCATGGGGCCATGAGGATGTGCTTTAAAGACTTCCAACTAGAGGGAGATTAACTGACTGAGGGTCTCAACTGCCTGGCTCTGAAATCCATCCTCATGCTTCCACCAAGGCCATGTTTCCCATGGGCTGTTCCCAGTCAGTGGCTGATCACAGTAGGCATCCTAAGGCTGGCTCATTCCCAGAAAATACGGGACTCCTCCAACAGCTCCCCAATGACTTTTCTAAATCTTTCTTAGACTGCACAGTGGTCTAGGATATTTATCTCTGACTTTCTTTCCTCTTTTCTTCACTCGTAGACAGAGTTGCATGGCCATCTGATGGCTCTGCCAGCCTTACCCAGCTCCCTCCCTGTTTTCTCTTACACAGGTGTTCCCTTAATAACATTGTCACACGTTTGATCCTGTCCTGGCAGCTGTTTCTCGGAGGACTAACACAATAAGCAACTTCAAGACCTGAGCAATCTTTTCAGAAAATTAATAGCTTCACTTTTCAACCATCTTATTGATCTATTTTAGTATAAATTAATATGCTATATTAAAATATAATAATATACTATATAATATTTTGCTCTAAATTCATATACCACAGAAAATTTGACCAAAAATTATTGGTGTCTTTTGAATTACAAATGGTTAATCCTCATTCAAGATCCAGACCTTAGGCACACACTAAACAAATTATCACTTATACTTTTAGGAGAATAAGTTGATTCAGACTATAAAGTTTATTGCTCAGGTTCAACTTTAATCTTATTTTTTAGCATGAGTGATAGGCATTTGATAATGTGAAACTCTTGAATACAAACTTAACATCTTTAATTCCAAACCAATCTCCCATATTTATTTACAAAAAGAGAAACAAATATTTATATATTGAATGTTATTCTATTGTTTGTTTAATACAACCTTCCTCATAGGATACAAACCAGTTTTCCAGTATACATATTTCTACTCACGAAAAATATTTTCATCAGTAACTCTGGCATTAAATTTGAAGATAAAAAATATGATTTTATCAATATTATCCATAATTGTTAGAATTATTTATCTCATATTATACATTTTTAGGCAAATACCTTATCTCACACCCTGCTAGACTAAGGAGATCTTGAGAACAGGATTTATTCTATTTTTTTTTTTTTAGTTAATATCTGCCATGGTTTGTGGTATAATACCTTGCACAGAAAACCTACTTAATTAACATGTCTTCTTGATATCTGTGAAGGCAATATCAGTCCCTGGCATGTACTATACTAATGTAGAGCTTGCCACTGGACTCCTCTGATACTATCAGCTGCACGTACTTTTAACTGTGTGAATAACAATAGTTACGTGCAAAGGTAGGCTTACAGAATGAAAGAATAGGGAGCAGAGTCTTCTGTGAGCCTGATGTCCAGCAGAGATTTCCAGGCTGACTGTCTGATTGCAGAGGACCAAGCTCCACCCTCTGGTCCCTTCATCTCTGCCACAGCCTGGGGCTCTCTGGGGCTTTCATCCCATCCAGAGCCACCTACACCCTGACCTCCCCCAAGGCTGGGAGCCACATAGGCTGGGCTCTATAGTTAAGACAGTTGGGGTTTTGTTGCTGCTCCTTGTTTGTCTGTTTAGATTTTTTAAATCTCTTTGGCTTCCTATGCTATTCCATAGTTATAAATGGAATAAAACTCTCTAGAATTACGGACAAAAATGATGTCCAGAAACACCTTAGTTACATATCCAAAGTTAAATAGCCAATTCATAGAAATCAGTGTCCTTACCTCTGCAGTGGCCTGAAATAACTATAAATATTTCCCAATACCAAATATGAAATAACTAAATATACATAGTTCTTCTTCTGTCTTTAACTGAGAGTCTAGCCAATGTTTCTACACATTTGAAGTTTAACCTAAAACTAATAATTAACTGCACAGACTTAGAGTGTGTATTGTCTTATTTGTTAATGAAACATCAGGGGCCGGGATTTGAATCAATTTTAAAGCTATAAAATAAAGTAAAATCACCATTTCATGCCAAATGTGTTATTGATCATATATGCATCCTTAGAGAAAATGATACAAATGTCAGTCTTAAATAGTTGAATTTATATAATTAACACTGTGAGACTTGGAATTTTTCAGTTAAGCTTCCACATACTTAAGTAGTACTTTACACGTATTTTTTATGTCCACTATAGAATACTGGAAGAACATTGCAATTCACAATATTTCCCAGTTTAGAGAATAAGAACACATAATCTCGGTGCTCATCATAATACCTGAAAGTCTATAAATATTTATAAACTTAACTATTAGCCTTCTCAAGGGCCAATATTTTGATCACTTGCCCATGGGTTTAATCAAACATTCTCAAAATTCTGAGATTATGTACAGGAAATATAAGAAATGATTAATCGAGATACAAATAACTGAAAAGGTCAAAAAATGAAAGATTCCATTTACTATCTTGGACAAAATATTTCAGGTTAGTGTCAAATATCATACCAGGAATAAAAACCAAACTACAAGAAGCCCCACCGCCACCACCAAAAAATGTGAAATATCAACCCACTTTATAACTTATTTATAAGGAAAAAGGAAATCTCTTTTAAAATTTACTCTCCTGTTTTCATTTAGTCCTTGTTGGCAAGTATAAGAAAATGCAGACATATTTTGATGTTAAAATAGCAATAGTATGTTTCTACTTCAGTGTTACTATCAGAAGTAATTGATGGAAATGCATAAGAATTATAAGGCATTTAGACTGAGTAATTGATGGAAATGAATAAGATTATAAGGCATTTAGACTGAGTTTGAACACGTGTGGCTGACAACTACAGCATCACAATAAAGCAAACAATCCAAGTTACAGCCTAAACTATATTTTCTAACCAGAAGAAAAGTAATTGCTTTCTTCTTATTATCTGATATTTTTGAAGTGTGAGAACAATATCATCTTTCATTATACTGGACTGACACATGACAGAGACCAGAGTGACCTTACTGTCAAGGGAAGATGCTTGCTCTTCCCGCAGGAAGTCCCTACTCATGATTACATGTGCCTCTACCTTGACTATCACTCAATTTCATAATTAAAATAAGGCAAGAGATTTCTTTTGGCGTGATGAATTGTGTGTGTGTGTGTGTGTGTATTTTTAATATGACTCTTCTGATCTATGTTTATATCTTGCGATTAGGGGAAAGGTTGTTTCTCTTACTTACCTGAAATCCTTCCCAGTACCAAAGATTTGACTGCACTGAATTCTGTGCCTGATGACAGGTAGACTTGTCTCCTTGTATTCTCATCAATCTACAAAGTTGTTATATGAGATACAAACATCCAAACGGATGCCGTTTGGTTGAGAAGACAGGCAGCAAAAAAAAAAAAAAAAAAAAAAAAGACAAAAGAAAGTGATAAAATAAGCAATTGTTAATATGGTTCCAAAGGTTTAGAAAAAAATTTTTTTTAAGACTTAGCCACTTAAAAAGTTACATACTACTTTCTAAACTATTTCTTTACTACCCTCATATATAACTTCACTTCACCTTCCATTCCCTTATATTGCTTTATTTTTCTGCTCTGTATAAGGAATCCAAAATTGGTAAAGCCAACAAAAAGAAATGAGTTATTTTTCACCTCAACACTTTTACTTAGCTTGATATTTGTACTTAAGTCAAGCAGCTAAGAAATGTTCTTTTATGTACAGCACTGAAATAGTGCTTTCCTTCAAAAGCTGGTAGAATGAATAATTCCATTTTCTCTGCTGTGATTCACATCATTTTAAAAAATTTATTCTGATATTGCAATCATTATTTTCTGTGTTTATTATTGCTGCATTCATGCCCATCTGAAATAAACTGGTTTTATTGGAGTAGCAACGGTCCTACCAGTAGCACACTGTGATAAACTGGACATTGTTTTCCTACCAAGAGTAAAACAAGTGAGGAAAAACTAGCATTTTTAAGTCTTAGATATTAATAACATATTAGACAGAATCTTATTGTTTTAAAAAACCTGACCATATCTGATGACCTGTTTATGAGCTGTAGAAGACCACTGAAAGGAGTTTATTCTATTTATTATTATATTTCTGTATTAGGTCCTTTGTGCTGGGGAGGCATCATTGCAACCATTGCTACTGTTGAATTTACTATGTTACCTCAACAAAGACCACTCCATCTTCTCTGTCAATCTTTATGTGGTGAAGGTGCCCATCAGCCATATTTTTAAAATCAACGTTAACAACATCAGGTTCTCGATATCTATTTAGCTTGTACCTGATCTGCAAACTTCCTAAAGTAGAGAAAAAAGTTATATTTTCAGTAAAAATTGTATTTTAAGAACGATTTATAAAAACTCAGTCTTTTTGTTGTGATTAATTCATTTCTGGGGAAAATTCACAATAGTTCATTTGGAGGTATCCTCTAATTGTAATTCCTGGAAGTCAGTTTCTAAGTGAAGTTGTCATATTTTCAAAATCAAAGCCAAGCATATTGCTCATAACTAGCCTCTTTCCTGCAAATCCTTAATTTTCTTTCCTAAAAGTCAACTCTGAGATTAAGAATATGCAAAAATCTCTGCACTAGCCTCTAACACAAAAAGGAAAACTAAGACTGAGTATCTGAAATGCCAAACTATTGTGAAATATTGAAATAACATTGTTTCTATGATCATTTCTTTCTAAAAAAATATATCTCACACTCTTGAAATACAATTCTTCAATGGAATTATTATAAGCTAATGTAGTTTTACTAAAGATGAGAAATATTTTTAAGTGGTCATGGTCATAGATGTTGGAATAGAATTAGAGTGAAATGAATGGTTTTAATCCAAACTTATAATTAGAATTACTACTACTCAATTGCCTGCAGAGATGTCAATTAATTTGTTTAACAGGATACTTCCAATTTAACAAAAAAA